TAACCAAGACTTTTCATCAAATTAATAAAAAAGAATTGTTTCTTTTAACTGAGAAAACTTGCTAGCATTACATAGCTCCAATATCAGAAAATTTGTATAAACATTGATTCTTTCCTTTCCCTAAGATTGGTCAACTTCCTTCAATACAATCAACTCCAAGGAAAAAACAAAACAAAAGAGGAGTTCTGGAAACAAACAACAAATTCTCAAACTTAACAAAGCTTCTTTATTATTTTTCGAATTGATGTGGCTTGTCCTAAGTAAAAGACGCGGGACACGAATCCCAAACAAAAATTACATAACAATCGAAAGACAACAATTTCAGTAATTGGGCAAAGTAAGAGAAATGGAAACAGAAGTTCAATAGTGTAACACACTAAAAGAAGATTACCTCAAAGAGTGATTCTTCAGCAAGGAAGAAAAGTACAGAACAGAGAAACTTTGAAGAGCCGAGGGATTTTGTGCGGAGCTCAAGTAGGGGTGTAAATGGGGCAGGGCAGGTTAGGGCGGGGCGGGGCAAGCCTTGACATTTAATATTTTTTTTTTTTATCAATCCACTAGGCCATGTGCTAGGGCTGGTTTTTATTTATATAAGAAAAGATAAATAACATAGTTTGTCAGGAGGTCTTACGAGATGAAACGAATAAAATTTAAAAATTACATTAAACCTATTACCAATATTGAGTAGTGTACTCAACATTGATATCACATTATCTCTATTAAAAGTTGCATAAATAAAAACTAGCCCAAAGATGATCATTTCCGCATTTTCTTTCCAGTCCCACGAGGCCCAATTCTTTTGTGTATCACGCTTCTTGCTTCCGTAACCACTTTCTATGTCAAATGCTGCCCAGATCCTTATATTGCAATAGTAGTCCATTTCCTTATGTAGTATCTTATTTGTCCATTTGCTGCTGACTTTTGATCCTTTTCCTTTCATTTGTAATGTTCTGAATACTGTCATTCCATTTCCGATGTGCCATTGCTTATGTCTGCACCTGCTTTTAATATGAACCACTGCACAGAATGCACCAACTTTGCTTTGATTTTTGATGGTCTTCCATTGCTTACCTCTTGAGACCCTTGCTTGAAAAACTTCCTTGTGTATTCTATTGTGTTGCCATTCCTTCGAGATGCTCCACTCTTTGTCATTCATGCACGAATACCACTGCCAAGTGAACCATGTTATGATCAAACTTCTTCCAGTTATTAATATTTTGCGTCCCAAATCATGTGATGTCCCTTTGAATTTTATTGAGACTCCGGTCATGCTTGTTTCCTCATTTGCTATTGAAGATGTCTGCACCACAGTTATGATCCAATATAGGTTGATGCTTCCCAAATATAGCTGCCAATACCAGTGTTTTTTCAAGCTGGACCATAGTGTTTCCCATTAGTAATTTTTCATGCTTATGCATGTCACAATTCCTTCTTCAAGGGAATGAGTACAGTGTACTAATACCACCCATTGAAGTCGAAACTTGTGACAAGGCATGAATACAGTAACGTTTCCTGCAAAAAAGAAAATAAGGTTAGTGAAAAACTTGATCATTTTGTACTCCTCCCAAAGGCCTTGTACAAAACAATCTGATGCACTCTCCTTAATCCTACACCACCTTGCCATATTTCTTTTTTCTTCTTGTTTAGCGCACCTTACATGTTGTTTTGCTTGTTGCTCTTTTGGACCTACTCCCTCTTCCTCAACTATTCCTAACCATTCATTCTCATGTTGCCCATTTCTCCTAGACATTCTGAGCAAGCCTGCTACTTTTTTCATATATGATGAGCTCCCTCTATCTACCTCTCTCTCCCAACTCCTCTTATACTTACTTTTCCCCTGCTTTGAAATCATTATGATCCAAATTCCTGCATGGCTCCCTATATCCCATAGAATCCCAATCCATTCTCCTGAATCTTTTGAGCTATTCTGCCCATTTCTCTTAGACATTCTGGGCAGATTTGCTTTTATTTTTACCTTTCCAGCCTTGTAAATATGCTCCCTTTTATTTCCTTCCCTATCTTCCTTGTTTCTCTTGCACTCCCTTACATCTTGTGTACTGGCATTGTGACTTTTACTGATTTCTGTAGACCTAATTGTCTTGCGTAACAGATTTCCTTTCCTTGCCACTATATCCTTGCCTTGCTTTAATGGTCTTCCTATGGATTGAGTTCTTAGCACTAATACCACCATATGTAATTCCATCCAAGCAAGGTGCAAGAATATATTATGAACACCTGCAAAAAGGAACACAGTGTTAGATAAAAATTTATCAACATATCCTCCTCCCTTAGGATTTGGATATATTGATCGACTGACATCTCCTGCACCCTGCTCCTCCCTTTCTCCTGACTTCTTAGCTCCTGACCACCTTCACCCTTAAACTTGGACATTGCATCTTATCTTCATTTATGATCCTCCTCCCTTGTATATCCATTTGCCAGAATTATTGACATTCAATATCACCATGATCTAAGGCATAATTGGCAAGATGATCTGCCAACTTATTACCTTCCCTATAAATGTGTGAAACTGTGTAATTGCCCCCATTCATTAGCTGCCTAATTTCCTCCACCTGTTCATTAATGATCCATGGTGGCTTCCACAACCCATCCATGATCTTTTTCAAGAGCATTGAATCAGTTAGAAGCCATATATGAGAGTATTGTTGTGTTCTGCAGAACCTCAGTGCCTCTACCATAGCTTTAGCTTCAGCTACTGTGTTTGTTGTTTCTTCAATTTCCTTCCCTACTGCCCATACTATGTCACCCTTCTCATCCCTTACACAATATCCTATTGAGCTCCTGCCAGGATTTCCCCTCGAAGCCCCATCTGTATTGACCATTAGCCATCCTGCACTTGGGAATTCACACATGACTTTGTTCACCTTAAGTGTAGGGGTGTAATTCTCCATCATTTTTAACAGATCGTGCCACTTGTGAGGAACCAATTTGATACCTGGCTTTCTTACCTTTACCAATGCTTGAAGAGTTATTGACACTTGGTAGATCACCCTGCTAGTTGACACTACATCTCCATACTTCATGCCGTTTCTTCTTTTCCACAGTTCCCAGACTATGCAAGAGGGAAGTGCTTGCATTATTGGTTTTAACCTTGGACACACATTAGCAGTCCAGCATTTTGTGATAGCTTGGTGCATTGATAATCCTTCCACAGTTATTCCTGCCCTCGATAAAAAATAATACCATACTACCCTGGCTGTTTCAGATCTGAAGAATAAATGCTGCAGAGATTCTTCCTTAGGCTGTACACAGCACCAACATTTAGATGGCATGAAGTATCCAAGCCTTCTCATAAAGTCATCCAATGGTAGCTTTGCTTTCCACACCTTCCACATAAAAAAGGAAATTTTGAAAGGCAAACCTTTTACCCATCCAATAAGGTGTGTCATGTATATAGTGTGATGAAGGTGGCTTTATCTTTTCTATTATATGTACTGCATATTCTTCAGGTAACAATTCATATAGCCTATCCACATCCCATCCTCCATCTTCAATGACATCATAGACATTGTGTACATATTCATCAATGCCAAACTCCTGAGGAACTAAGAAGTACAATGCCCCTAGTCCTGTCCAGTTATCAAACCAAAATAGTGAGGATCCCATTTTTGGTTGCCAAATTATTTGATATTCAATCAGATCTCTACACTCCAACATTTTTCTCCATATGTGTGACCCTTTCCTCCATGGAACAATTACAGAATTCATTTTTTTGCAATATTTCTGACTTATGAAAGAGCTCCAAAGGCTTGGCTTTGTTCTGTAGTTCCACCAGAGCTTACTGAATAATGCTTTAGATACATCATGTAGGGACCTAAATCCTATTCCTCCTTCCTCAACTGGCATGCATAGTGTGTTCCAAGATGCCCAATGCCTACTGGTTCCTCCTATAGAGCTGCTCCAAAAGAACTGGGCAAATATCTTATGCAGCCTATTTATTACATAGTTTGGAGGGTTGACAACTGACAAGAGGTGTATAGGCATACTCTGTAGTACATGTGCAATAAGAACAACACTACCACCTACAAACAAAAGCTTACCCTTCCATGATTGTAGTCTGTCCATTACCTTGGTGATCATGGGCTGATAATATTCCAGCTTTCTCCTTGCATAGAATATAGGGCAGCCTAGGTATATGATAAGGAATTCTTGTCTGTTAATCCCTGTGATCCTCTCCACCTTGCTAATCATTTCAAGGTCTGATAACTGATGCAAATATACAACAGATTTGTTTCTGTTTACAAGCTGCCCAGATGCAGCTTCATAAGCACTAAACACTTCCATAATCAGTAGCAAAGATGTTCCATCAGAAGATGAAAATATAATCATATTATCTACATATGCAAGATGATTGATTTTTGGGCTCCACTTTGGCATCCCATATCCACAAAAGTATAGGTTCTTATGTAGAGCATTGAGACCTCTTGATGGTGCTTCAGCTGCTAGGATAAACAGAGTTGGAGAGACAGGATCCCCTTGTTTTACTCCCCTAGAAGACTTGAAAAAACCATGAGCTTGGCCATTTATTAAGATGGAATAACAGTTGTTTGACACTATTCCAAACACCATGCCTATGAACCTTTCTGAAAAACCCATTCTTCTTAGTACCTTGGTCAAAAATAACCAGGATAGTCGATCATATGATTTTGTCATGTCTAGCTTCATAATGACATTAGGTCCTGCTTTGGTTCTAAGCCTCATATCAGTCACAATCTCCTGAGTCAGTAATATATTTTTACTATGCTCCTGCCCTTAACAAAGCCAGCCTGTTCCTCAGATATCAAATTAGGAAGAAATCTCACTAACTTTTTGATGTATCACCCTTGAAATCACCTTGTTGGAAAAGTTACTGAGGCTTATGGATCGCAGATCTGAGAAAGTAGTGACCAACTTTTTCTTTGGTAACAGAACAAGATTGGTGTGTGTCACACATTTAGGGAGATCATGACCATTAAAAAATGCCCTCACCATGTCAAAAATATCATCCCCTACTATGTCCCAGCAAGATTGATAAAACCTGCCTGTCATACCATCTGGTCCACCTGCACTGTCTCCATTGAGTCCAAACATTGCCACTTTGACCTCCTCTTTGGTTGGTTTCTTTATCAGTTCAGCATTCTGCTCTGTATCTATCAGATTAGGAACGCAATTGATAATATCAAATGATGAAGGGATGGCTGTTTCAGTGAACTGCTCCTTGTAAAAATTAATAGCCTCATCTGCAATTTCCTGCTCCTCTTCAATCCAGTTTCCTTGGCTATTCTAAATTCTATTAAGTTGCAGTTTCTTCCTTCTACCTTTTACTTGAGCATGGAAAAGTTTAGTGTTCCTATCCCCCTCCTTGAACCAGGTCATACCTGCCTTCTGCTGCCGGTACTTCTCCTCCAATGCCAACACTTTAATCAATTCTGCTTGTACCTTTTGTAGTCTTTCCCTGTTCATTTTTGTAGGATTAGCTTCAAATTCAATCTCATGAACTAAAACCACCTCCTCCATGCTAGCTATCTTCTGAAATATATCACTAAAAGTTGCTTTGCTCCACAATGCTAGAGCCTTCTTTAATTTCTTTAACTTGTGATTAAAAAGGATGTAAGGACTTGCAGAAAAATTAGCCTTCCAATTCTCCCTTACCACCTCTTTAAATGATTCATTTTCCACCCAAAAATTCAGGAATCTAAAAGGTTTCTTTATAATTGGAGCCTCTATATCACACTTCAACTGCATTGGGCTATGGTCTGATCCAATTTTTGAAAGATGTTCCACCTCTATACCTGGAAATGTTTGTTGAAATTCCACATTAGCTAGACATCTATCTAGCCTTTTGAAGATGCAATCTTCTTCTGCCCTTCCATTCTACCATGTAAAAATGCTGCCTTTGAAGCCAAGATCAAAGAGGTTGCAAGTGTTAACACAATGTCTAAAGTCATCAATTTCATTCAATGACACTGGAAGCCCACCAAACTTCTCTTCTTCATCCCATATTACATTGAAATCACCACCTACTAGCCATGGTACCTCCATATCCCTTGCCATTGCATATAAAGAATCCCATAGTTCTATCCTCTCTATAGCATCACACTTAGCATAAACCAAAGTTAGGACCATCTCCACATGTGATTCAGTGTGATACAATCGTAGTGTTAATTGCTGCACCATATTGTACATGACAGTTACCTCAAATACATCATCTATGAAAGCCCAGATCTTGTTGGAAACATTTGAAATTGCCTGTGCAAATCCTATTTTGTTTCTGTATCTTTCTAGCTTCTTTGCTTGTTGCTTAGGCTCCGTTAGACCTATAAATTCATAATGATTCTGCCTATGCATTTTTGTCAACCTTTCAAAGGCCTGTTGAGTGTTGATTGACCTTATATTCCAGATAAGAGCATCCATTACTGATTACTGGATTTAGTCAGTGTCCTCCTGGTTTGAACCCCTGCTGTAGGAGCTGCCATATTCTCTTTTTGTTGTTTCTTTCTGCCTTTTGCTGCTGATTTTACCTTCTCCATCTGCCTAGGAGAAAGATCTCCTCTTCTTGCTACATTTATAAAATTCTGAGTAGTTGATTCTTGATCCATGTCCTATCCTGTTCTGTCAACTTCCTCACCTGCCTCATTGTCTTCTTGCACTCCTGCTGCAACACCCACTATTTGGTTTTGAATTTTAGAGGCTAATGCATGCTCCTCCCCTTTCTTTACCAGTTACAATTGTCTTTGTTTCAATGGAATAGTAGCAGTTGCTGCAGCTGTTGATTGTTTGGATTGTTTTTCTTTCCCTTTTGCACTGGTTTCTTGTGGATCATTTGTTGGCTGTTGAGATTCGTCCACATCTGTACCTCCAGGATCACCTGTGTCTGTCCCTCCTCTTTCTGAGTTCCCTACACATGTGGCCTCATCTACCTGATGGTTAATGTTCTGCACCAATGTTTCTAGTCCTCCTTTTGTTGTGTTATTGTCATCATTGTTGCTTACATTGACAATGGGGTCCCCATTTACACTTTGTTCTTCCTCTTCTTTCTCCTCCACAATTGGTTCCTCATCTGCAGGCACTCCCTCTGGAACTTCCCCTTCTTCTGAATCATATTCTCTTTGATCAGACCATAGCCTGCCTCCACTCCATTCAACTCTTTCTCTAATTGTAGGAAATTTTGTACCATCTGTTTGAGCCTCTGGTGTTTTAGCCAACTCCTTTTCCACCATTGTATCTTGTGATGGAATATCCTGGCATGAGGTATTAATTCCCACAGCCATATCTCCTGCTTTATTATTGAATGTTCTTTCTACCCATTGTGCTGTAGATTCCTTTGTTCTTGGTGCTTCCTTGCCACTAGCTTTAGGAGTTGAGTTTACTATACCATTAATAGCGCCAATGCCAGATGAATTAGGATTAAATGCAGGGGCTGCAGGATTCAGATTTCCTGCCTTAGTCACCTTATCTGATTGTTGCTGCTGTGTTATACCTTGATTCACAATTGCTGTGCTTTTAGGAGTTGTTTGAGCTACTACTAATGCCAATTGATTATCTGGTTCATCTTCCTCATCAACCACTTCTAAGACTGCAAATTTATTAGCTACCTGCACTTGGTTGTTTGCACCATTGTCCACTGCTACCATCTCCTTTCCAGTTTTCCTTTGATCTCCTGCTTGCTGACCAACATCTGTAGCCTTGTTACCACCATTAGACTGTTGATTTCCATTCTGCTGTACTGGAACAATCTCCTTTCCAGTGTTGCTATAATTTGTAGTTTGGTTTACCACATTCCTAACTCTATTATCTTTAACTTCCTTCCACTATTCCTTTGAGGTACCACTCACATTGCCAACAACTCTTCCACTAGATAAGATCATTAGAGGCTGTGTATTACCATTGCCCTGCTCCTTACCTTTGACAGTTTGATTAGTAGTCTCCCTCTCCATATATAACTCTGGATGCAACCTCCAACATTCCAATTGATCATGACCTTGAAGTTTGCAATGTCTACAATATTTAGGCAGCATGTCATTGAATTCTCACCCATTCAGTCCTTGTTGTACCTGCAGCTTCATTAACTATGTCCATCCTCACCTTCTTAGGCAAATCTGCAAGTAGATCAACTAGCACCTTCACCCTTGCACAACTAGGTCTAGTTTTATTTATAGTAGCCATGTCCAGATGCAAAGGCTTGCCTACAGCTGCAGCTAACGAAAACAAACATTCCTTGACAAAAAAAGTTGGCAGTAGGCCTGGGAATGATATCCAAGCCATTGCCTTGGGAGTTTCCTCACCAGCTCTAAATTTGGAATCATAAATCAATGGCCTAAGCTGATATTCATATCCATTTCTGTCCTTAATATAATGAGCATTTGTTGACGTAAAATTCAAGTAATCTTGCCATAAAGTCATTCTGATCAAAATATGCCTTTCCCTTAAAAAACCAATATTACACTCACCTTTAATCCCACATTGAATTGGAATTAATTTGCGCAGCTGTTGCAAAATCTAGACTGCCATAGGAAAGTTTTCTAATTTGTAATATTATGTTTGACTTTTTTAAAACTTTTTTGATTTTTTATTGTACTTTATAAAATTGACATGTGAATAAGAATTACTTATAGATATCCGTTGAATAAAATATATTGTTTTATGAATGTTATGTAGTTTATTAAAGAAAACCTTTGAATATTGGGTATTGAGGAGTAATAACAACAAATCATGACGTGCAGAAACATACTTCTTGTTGCATCTAGAGCAGATAAACATCCTGCAAGCATTGATGGCAAATTTTTTTGCGGGTACTATCCAAAATATTTCTAACTTCAGCTTGTCACTAGTTTTATCTGTATTTTACCTCTCCATTTCACTCAATTGTTTATTGGTTCTGTAGAGTATAAAAGGTCACTCTGCTCGATTTATGAGCATTTGCCTTCGAGGATTTTCAATAACACTGAAGTGCCTAAGCTAAATTCTCCGCCCTCCTCGGGTACTTTGTTCTACTCCTTCTCTTAATGATTGACCTCAATACATATTATATATAGAAAATTGACAAGCATTTCTTCTTACCCATTCTAATCCCTGCTTCAACCAATTACTTTGATAACCAGTATCAAATGAAAACATAGAAATCTCTATACAACCCGTCCTATCCTATTAAAAATATTTAAAAATAATATTTTGCCCTGCCCTGCCCTGCCCCTCCCCATTTAAGGTTTGCCCTGCCCCATCCTGCCCCAATTGCCATCCCTGGGAGCTAGACGTATATGTGAGGGGTCTTATTAAAGACTCCTTACAGTCCAAAAGATGCGAAAATTGCAAATATGACCCTAATATTTTTGTTATTATTGTAAAGAACATATAATTAATGTGACAAATATTTGAAGGCATTTCTAAACCCGTCAAACAATAATTACTACGATTCAATCATGTAAAGACTCGGTCGAACGTTTTGAGAGTAATAGCCCCGATCCCTTATTTTCTATTTCCCCCGTATCTTTTTCTGCTTATGTGACTTGTCGGGAGGTTTTGTTTTTAGTTTCGGAGTATTTTGGGACACTTAGTCCCTAAAATGGAAGCTTAAGTCTTAGGATTTTGATCGTAGTCGGAACTGTATGAAGACGACTCCGGAATAGAGTTTCATCAGTTCCATTAGCTCCCTTGGGTAATTTTAGACTTAGAAGCGTGTCCGGATTGTGAATTGGAGGTCTGTAGCTGATTTAGGCTTGAAATGACGAAAGTCGAATTTTTGGAGATTTTGACCGGAGGTGGACTTTTTGATATCGAGGTCGGATTCTGATTCCAAGAGTTGGAGTAGGTCCGTAATATTGAATATGATTTGTGTCTAAAATTTGAGGTCAATCGGACGTGGTTTGATAGGTTTCGGCATCGGTTGTAGAAGTTTGAAGTTTCAAAGTTCATTAAGTTCCTATTGGAGGGTGATTCGTGTTTTTGTTGTTGTTTGATGTGTTTTGAGGGCTCGACTAAGTTCGTGTGGTGCTTTAGTACTTGTTGGTATGTTTGGTTGAGGTCCCGAGGGCCTCGAGTGAGTTTCGGATGCTTAACGGATCGAAAATTGGACTTGTGTAACTGCTGAAGTTTTTGAACTTCTGGTGTAATCGCACCTGCGGTGGGTTTGTCCGCAGGTGCGGATACGCATGTGCCAATGGAGGCTCGCAGAAGCGGGTTTGGGCAGCCCAGGCTGGGTTCGCAGGTGCGTAAAGCTTTACGCAGAAGCGGCTTCGCTTCTGCAGAGGGAAGGTGCGCAGGAGCGATGTGGTCGCAGGTGCGCATCCGCAGGTGTGGCCCTCTTCTCGCAAATGCGGACCCAGGGGACTTAAGTCAAGTCTGCACCTGCGAAGGAGTTTCTGTAGGTGCGACTGGAGGCCCGCAAATGCTAAATCGCTGGGCAGAAAAAGGGCAAGTTCGAGGGTTTTATGCTATTTTCAATTTTGGAACTTTGAGAGCTCGGATTGGGCGATTATTTGAAGGATTTTCAGACAGAGCTTTTGGGTAATGATTCTAACCTCCTTTATATTCCACTAATTTATAGTCGATTTCATTATTAATTAAGGAATTTGGGTTGAGAAAATTGGGAAAAAGTTTGGAAAGTTCATCAACCAAGTTTTTGAGTTTCGATTGGGATTTTGTTATCGAATTTGGATCATTTTAGTAAGAGTGAACTCGTGAGTGAATGGGTGTTCATATTTTGTGACGTTTTACTCAATTTTCGAGACATGAGCCCGGGGTAGACTTTTTAGGGGTATTTTTCTAATTTCTTATTAAGTGTCTTGATTTCATTAATTAGATTAGTTATTTAGTTGTATTTATGATATGTAATTGTGTTTGGCTAGATTTGGGCCATTTGGAGTCGGATATTCGTGGAAAAGGCATTGTGATCGATTGATTGAGTTTGATTCGAGGTAAGTAGCTTGTCTAACCTTGTGTGGAGGAACTCCCCTTAGGATTTGGTACTGTTGTGATATGTAAGCGCCGAGTACGTGAGGTGATGAGTGCGTACGCGTGCTATTGTTTTAAAATCTGATATTTTACTAAGTAATAACCTGTTTCTTCTTAGTTGAGATATACCAGCATGTGTAGTTATCATGTTTAGCCTAGAATAGTATGTCTACGTGCCTTAAATGCGTATTTGAACTCTGTGCAGCATGCTTAGTGGATTTACTACTTTTTCCTTGACTTGTACTTAGTCTAAATTGTAGGATTACTTGCTGTAACCGTTGTTTTCATTGTTTGGGATACGTATTTACTTTGGGACTATGGAACCGTATTCCGGGAGACCCCCTCTGCATATTTACTTTGGGACTACGGAACGGTATTCCGGAAGACCCCCCTGCATATTTACTTTGGGACTACGGAATGGTATTCCGGGAGATCCCACTACATATTTATTTTGGGACTACGGGACGGTATCCCGAGAGATCCTCCTACACATTTACTTTTGGGACTACGAGACGGTATCTCGAGTGATCCCCTGCTGTTATTCCTGTGTATTGTACTGTTATTCTTCTGTGATTTTCTTTTGTTAAATTTCAGTCTCTTATTATACTGCGATATTTTCATTCCGCCTTATTTAACTTATATATATACC